AGGAAATAGTATAATGAAACTATAATTTGAAGGACATTATTCTGACAGCTGAACTGAAGCAAGAAATAAATTAACAGATGAGAAATAAGATACTGAGTCAATAAAGGCCTAAATTGTAGTAGCCATTCTGAAAAAAGGAACTCAAAGTTTTAGACAGGGTGTGGAATGCATTAGCAGGATTTGATGACATAATCAGAAAATGAAAGAGAAAGACACTAAAACTAACAACTTATATATTTTTTTCAAGCTTTGAAGATGAAGATGACGATGGAGACAATAGAATGCATTTAAAGGATATCATTTGGAGACCTTAGGATGATCGTTTTATTATCTAATATGCTAAGTGTAGCTATGTCGTATTTTAAAGTAAATTACATCTTTTGGGAAAATAATCATTTAATAACAGGAGTAATTGACCAGATGCATTTTACTTTCAAAAATAGTATTAACTAGCATTTAATAAGCTTATGCAGAGACTCATTTAAAAATAATAGTCAGTATAAGAATAATTCCTGCAACTTATTCTAAAAGTTTTTTTTCCTGTTTGTTCTCTGATCTTGTTTTTCAGCTCCATGTGGTGGCCATTTTTCAGCTCCTAGTGGAGTGATTCTCTCACCAGGATGGCCAGGTTATTATAAAGATTCTTTGAATTGTGAGTGGGTGATTGAAGCTGAACCAGGACACTCTATCAAAATTACATTTGAAAGGTCTCTGCAAATATTTTTTCTACCTTTAAAAGAAAAGATTATTTAAAAAAATAGTTGATATTCTTAGTTTCATTTACCAAATCAATGTATAATTTTATTGTAATCGTCAATTGTGCTTTATATACTTCAAACTGTTTGCCACCTTTTAACTTTACAGCCTGTTTTCAAGTTAATTTTCTATTTGTTTAATGCTTTCTCAGTACTATTGAAATACGCAAGATCGACCTTTTTGCTTTATATATATATATATATATGTACACTACTGAGATATGAACATGTGACCTTTAACTTAATGAATTTAGTTGTCCTATATTTTGAAGGGCTTGTGGATTCTGCTCTGCTGGGTTTAAAAAGGCAAAGTTGCTGTAAACATGTTCAAATGGATACTGTATTGCAGCTTAAGACACTTATGCACACTACCTGTATACCTATACTACAAGTTTTTCTGAGATGGCTGTGTCAAGTCAGTGTGTATTAATGATAAGACAGTGACTTTTTTTTCCCCTAGGAAAATTAGTATTACTGATCAAATAATCTGTATCATGAAAGACTGTAATATTGAATATTTAAAAAGTTAAAAGTGAAGTTTCTACTTTATTCTTGGATCACTATTCACAAATCGGAATAGAATTACCTACATAATTTCCAAATTATATTGTTACCCACTTCATCTCCCAACTCCTTTCTTAAAAAACAAACAAATTTGGGCCAATCCTGTGGCACACTCGGGAGAGTGCGGTGCTGGGAGCGCAGCAGCGCTCCCACCACGGGATCGGATCCTATATAGGGATGACCGGTGCGCTCACAGCGCTCACTGGCTGAGCGCGGTGCGGCCAGTCTCAAAAAGGACAAAAAAACCCCACAAAAAAACAAATTTTAAAAACCACATTAAGCATTGGATACATATAATAATTATATAAATACAATAGAATATTTTGATTTATGGCCTAATGATTAAATTTTACAAGCCTAACGTGATCCTTCCCTAACTCAAGAGGTCCTTCATTGAATTAATTTATCCATGCTTATGTTAAA